GGGCCTACGTGCTAAATCCCCTTGGAGGTGGTAGAGATCTTCCATTATCTGGCGGACAAAGGTCATCACAGTGGCAAGGAACATGGATCTAGTCATATCCTCACAACTACTGCACTTCATCGCGTGTAGTCGGCGATCCTTCTGACTCTCTCTCTTATGACACCCTTTTCTTGCAACAAACGCCCCATCTGTTGGGTCCTGGCTTCCAAAGATTGTTCGGCTACTTGATTCTGTTCTTGGAGTTGTTGCAGGTCTCTTTCTAATTGATCCATTGATGTATAACAGTGTTCTCTTTTAGCCTTAAAGTCTTTCGCCTGCTTGATCATTTTGTTCTCAACGGCGATGACCCTTTTCTTCAACCCCGCCACCTCATTGTCATATTTCTCTTTTAACTGTTTAACCAAGCGCGCTCGTTCTTCCGTATTCTTAGCCAATTTTGTTCGAGCCTTGGCTAGTTCACCCTCTGCTTTGTTCAAATCAAAACCATACTCATCCACCTTCTGTCTAAGGTTCTTTATAAGCTTTTCATCCTTTGCACTTCTGGCGGGATTTTCAGTTGCTGTTTTCATTTCTCGAATTTAGGCTCGAAGGGCCTCATTTTCTTTGGCTAGCTTTTTCTTTTCACCCTCATCCGCCGTGGCTTGCAATCCATTCTCGAATTGGAGATCCCTAACTTGCTTTTCCAACTTTCCTATTGTGTCCCTATACTCATTCTCCTTGGCCAACCAAGCCCACTATTCTTGCGACGCCTCAATGAGTTCCTGAATGTAAGGCTTTTTGGCTGGTCTTTCCGGTTCGGCCCTTGCAGTGTTCTTCTTTCTATACCAGACAAGGTAGGTAGGTGAGACACAATAGGCACTCAATAAGTATAGAACGAATGCCTCTAGATAGGTCATACACTCGAGTGTTCGATGTCAAAATACTGCCACTCGTTCCAAATAGAACGAACTGTTTCTTCGTGAAATTGGCTGTCGGAGCTAACCTCGACCGCATAAACACTAAGATCTTCATCTAGGTGCGTCACCTGGCATGTTCCCAACTGTCTCATCACCCAGTATGGAGCGTAAGGCTGAATTCCTCAAAGACTCATTAGGAGGAAGTAAGGACCGGTGGCTGGCATATACACAATTTCTTCAACAGGAAGCCAACCTAGTGTCCATTCTATTTGCCCCGCAGTGATGGGGCAAAGGCGGGATACCCAATCTCCAAACCCTTCTGGTAACTTAAACCCTGAAATCCTTGTGTCGAACTCTTCAATGCAACTTTCCTCTGTGGACCCATAACTCATATACTGAGGGTGGTGAACAGGTATTCGATCATCCACATTTGTAGTAGCAAATTGCATCCCTCGAAGAAATCTGCTCCAGCTTTACAAGCTGTGAGAGCTCGGTATATCTCAGACACTATCACAGGGGCAAGGGTGCTCTTGGCGTTGGTAATCAAGACTTTGACGACTCCAGCCACTCGCAGATTGATATTCCCATCTTTCCGGGGAAACACCACGAGGCCTAAGAAAGCTACCATGAAAGCGAAACGCCTATGCTCATCCCATTTTGCTCGGTTCCCTTTGTACAAACCCCGATTTCTGGGTTGTTGAATCCTCCTACATGCCCGTACCTTTGGTATATAAAACGTAGAGTGGAAAAACCATCCTCCAACTCGGAGTACGGGACTCCCTTGCTTATTTTTAGCAAATTCATGAATTTGTGAGAGTTAACGGCTCTTGGAGCGATCAGATACTTATGCCTTAGACCTTCAGTACTTCCCATATAACCTACTATGTCTTCCAAGGTGGGTGTGAGTTCAAAATCCGAGAAATGCAAGACGTAGCTCACAAAACGTAACCAATGCCTTTATGATGTCTCCTCTAGGCCTTATCTTCAACAACCCGGTAAGGCCTCCCAAATGTAGGTTGACCTTATCTTGCTCTGATTTACCCAGATCTCCCACCACATATGCAACTCCAAAGGGATCTTGTTCATGAGTATTATTGGCAAACTTTGACTCGTGCTCATTCTGCACATTTATTAGGGTGATTAAGCAAAATCAAGACTTATTTGACTCAAAAACAAAGTTAACACTGTTTTTCTCTCTTTTCTTTTCAAATTTTCATTTCAAAATAAAACCCGGCTTTGCAAATACGACCTTTCCGCACTTCCGGGGAGAAGATTTTAAGGCTGTGCTAACTAATCGGCCAAAATGTCAAAAAAGAGACCAAAGGTGGTTGTTCTTGCAAAAACAGTCTTCCGGCGTCCTTTTGGAGACATTCGGCTATTTTCGACAGGAATGGCTTCACCTTACTTATTTCCAACAAAGTAAGAAAATTTTGATGCCTTTTGGGCTATTTTTGCAAAAAGAAAGTTGGACCCGATGGGGTTTGCCTACGTATCCCACATTCGGTGAGAATCAAACTGGCGTAGTTCGGGCAATTTTGAAAAAATAAAAACCAACTTTTTTTTCTTTTTTCACTTCTCTTTTTTTTCAAAACAAAACAAAAAAATTCTTTTTTTTCTTTTTTTTTTTTCAAAATTTCGGCAGAGTTTTATTATATTTTGGGACATCGATTTTTCAAAACAAGCAATTATCTCTTTTACCTCTCATATTGACTTTCCTTCTATCAACCTTTTCCCTATAAGCCGGTCAACATGCAAATCTGAAGCAAATGAATGCACAAGTAGCAAGTAGGATGCATCAGGATGGTCTTTTTCATTTCGGGTATACCTGTCCTAGACAGATCCAACCCATGTGTTGAGTCTCCAAAGTCAAATGCATATGATGCAGATAAGTGTTCCTACTAGGGATCCGGCATGAGGCTGAGTTATTCTAGGTTTAAAACCTGGGTGTATTGTTCTAGACCTGGCTTACTCGAGCGGACAACTCGAGCCGAAGGGGGGCTGCGTACCGATAACCAAAAGATCATCCGGCTTTGCAACTTGTCCAAACCTCGTTCTATTTGGGATATAACACTAACATAAACAAGTCACAACCAGCGTGCACTCCTCGGGAGAGAGAAGAGAGGGGTTTCGTAGCAGTTTATATACAGTTCAGATAATATCAAAGCGGTAAAAGCAACATTTAGCACATTAGGCCCAAACATATAATAAAATCAGATAAAAAATAAAGCCAAATATAACAATTCATCTAAGCTCGAATTCTGAACCCTGAACCAGAGATTTTGGGTTCGGTCCCCAACAGAGTCGCCAGAGCTGTCACACCTCATTTTTACCTACACCCCAGAGGGTATAAGGGGAGTTTGTCCAATTAAAGTGACAATCGAAACGAGATTATTTATTTTATTAAATTCAGAGTCGCCACTTGAAATAATTTATGGTGTCCCAAGTCACCGGTTTAAATTCCGAATCAAGGAAAAGATTGACTCTGTATTATAGTCCGCGAACACAGAAATTAGGGTAAGAAAATCTGTTAACCCGGGAGAAGGTGTTAGGCATTCCCGAGTTCCGTGGTTCTAGCACGGTCGCTCAACTGTTATATTTGGCCCATTATCTAATTTAATACACTTTTAAACCTATGGTTCAATTTTAACCTTATTAACCACTTTTAATTATTTTTTAGGAAGATTGCAACGTTATTAAAACGCGTCTTGAACTACGTCACATAAATGCACCCGCGGTCCTCGACATATTTTATATAACATTGTTGAGATTTGAATTTGGGTCACATAAATGCGCACCCGAGTTTAGGAAGATAACTTATTAAAATAATGAGCCTAAAGCAACTACGCACTTCAACTTTGTGAGGGCCATGGAAAATTCGCTAAATGGTACGCCTCGATTTCTAAGGATAAAAATATTAATTAAATGAGGGTCGTGCACTTAAGATTTTTGTTTGGCGCGGCACGTCTCGAATTGTTCCATCATAGTATTTCTAACTTAGCTCGCGAGGGCCATAAATTATATTTGGCTAATATGGCACACCTCAACTAATTAATGAGCATGACTAGTTGATTAAAAGACGTAAAGGGATTTCTACTTATTTTATGTCAATGCTTAAGCTAAAATTTAATAATCAATGAACTAGTAATAGATAACCCATATTTGATTGTGGAAGGGCCAAGCTGGTCATAAACCCAATGGATGACTGCCCGTTATTGCAGGCCCAGCACATGAAACAACTGGGCTCAAGACGAAACCCATCTTGGCAATCTGATCGCGGAAGGGGAGATGATCACAACAGGGCTAATGATGGCAGCCCAACACATTTGCTTAAACATTAATTTCATGATTCAGCATTAAGTATAAAATCAACTTAACAATTTTTATCGCATAGCAATCTGAGGAAACACTACGACCCCAAATCATGCTAAACTATTATTAGGCCTATAAACAAAGAAGTCAAATATCCTAAACTAACTGACCACAATATTCTTTTCAAAGAAAACTAAAATTCAATTGGGAAATGATTCAAGAAGCTCAATGACTTATAACCAAATCTTAGCATGATTTTTCCCAAACAAAACAAACGTATGCATACTAACTGGATCCCATCCAGTCCAATTCTTGTTATTTAAACATGAACAACTACTGAATTCAGGCCAAAGTATGAAGAAACAATCCACCAAACCAAATAGAACCCAAAATTAACTCAAGGTTCTAGACTAATATTTTTCAACAGAAGCACAACATCAAAGGCTTCCTACTTTTACCTCCGTAATCTACAAACACAACAGCATACTTAAAAATCATTTGTGAACCAATGCAACACCACCATACAACTTACAGGTTATCCTCTAAGTTATATCCATAATCTCAACAATGACAAAAGTTCAGCTATTAAAACTAGAATTCAGTTGTACAATTCTTGACATGAATCCTGGAACTACATACTAAGTCTGCATCAACAGCTTATTCTAACAGCAGTAAAGTCATGCAGCTTCAACAATCAACTAAGCTACTCAAATTGAATGAATCAACTACTGCATTTTGACTAACAGGACTCAAATGAGATCCATATTAAAGGCATCAGGTGTGAAAGAAAATACAGATCTTCAACACTGGCCTAAATATCATTGCAAACATAACCAAAGCATTTCTTTCACCTATAGCCAATTTAAAACAAAGCTGATAACTAAACAGAGGAATCAGACAACTTAGAGCTTCAATTTCATGCTATGACATCCCATTCATGCTCAATATACAAATCAACATATCTCAGAGCTAAACATTACAACCATACATTATATTAAAGGAAGAAGAAATGAAATTCAACAACAACAACATCAGTTTTATCACATTTCCATACCCAAACTCCATATTACACTTAAGTAATGTCCATAGTGCCAAAGGAATACCTGAAAAAAGTGAAGAAAATAAGAAGAGTGAAGGATCAGCAGCAGCAGAACAAGGCCAGCAGCAATGTAATAGTGAAAACCAATTTCAAACCAAAATGATACACAGCGGTCCAAAACCAATTTCGAACGAATAGTACAGCCACATCAAACTTCAACCCAAACTTTAAAGAAAAACCAAAACTCAAACCAATTCGACCCAAAGGCAAGGCCTAGTCATATTTTCAGCAACTTTAACTAAGCGATGAGGATCAGGAAACCAAAGAATAGCACAATTTTGATATTTTTCAACCAGAAAAAAATGCAGGGAATTCTCAATGCTGTTTCACTTTTTCAGCTTTTTTTTTTTCAAAAATCTCTGCCTTGAATGGCAAGTCTTAATGACTTTATAGGCAGGGCATTAGGGCAGCCTATAATAGAATCAGTTTTACAAATGAAACCTTTTAGATTCTGATTTTAGCTCAGGAGCCCTTATTCAATTTTTGATTTTGCTCAAATAACCTCAGTTCACATATCAGAATTACAGAATAGCCCCTTCCCTCAACTTCCTAGAAGCTTCCCTAAGTAATTACAAAAGATTCCCTAAACTAAAGTTCCTAGACTACCGCTCAAACCCTTGAAATTTACCATCAGAAAATCACGTGGTATGGGTCAAATTGAGCCAATGGTTTAACTAAGCGAACGGGATGCCCTTCTTTTCTAAATGGGTCTGAAACCCAAAGCCCAAACAGCTAATTAATCCAACTAAAATCTGTAAGCACTAAAAGAACACAAACATTTTGACAATTAAAATCTAGACTAAATAACTAAATTAACAAATCCAAACTAAACTAGTTAATGGACTAAATGCAACAATTACAGGAAAAGATTTAAATCTAACATGCATAAAAACAAGTCTGGAGAAACTAGAAGAATAAAGAGGAATCAAGAAGAATAGAAAGGAACAGAAGATAGAAAAAAAATAATGAAGGCGAAATGAGGAAAAGATAACAAAAGAAAAAGGAAAAAATACCTAACAATAAAATAGGACAGTAAGGAATTGGAGATAGCCTTCGAATCTTTAACTTTCAGCCCAATCCGAGATTAATCGTGTGTTCTTTATCAAAACACATTAATAAAGTCAAAATGGACCAAAAATCTTCAATGAGAACCTGAGTTGGAAATTTGGGATTTTAGGATTCACCTTTTGATCTGATATTCGAGAAGTTCGGGCAAGATTCGAGGCAAATGGAGTGGGGATTTGGAATGAGAGGGTCTTGGTGGTTATGGGGTGTTATTTTGGGAGTGATTGGGGGTGGCACTGCCGGGCTCGAGGCGGTGGGGAATGGTGGTGGCGTTAGGGTTCATGGTAAGTCTCTGAGAGGTGAGGTTCGAGAGAGACGAGTGAGCTAGGGGGGTCTAAGGGGGGGCTTTTCAGACACTTAAATAGGTATAACCCAACCAGTTCCGGACCGTCAGATTAAACAAAATTAACGGCCCAGATCGAAGGGTTATTAAAACGGGATCGTTTGGTCTCAACGTGGGGCAGACCAGATTTTGGGGCGGGTCGTGGGCTGGTTTTGAACAAGTTAATTGGGAATTCTGGTTTGGGCTTGTGGGATTTGAGATTCAACAGGCCCAAAAATCAGATCCTCTCTAATCCCTTTTTTTCTTTTTCTTTTTCAATTTCAAATCCCCTTTTCCAAAAAAAAAATTCTAAATTAATTCTTAAAACTGAATTAACCTACAAAATTATATTAATTACCCAACATAATATTCACCACAAATAAATTAATTTTCGAATTAAAAGAAACTACAAATTTTTTAAGATTAAAAAGTTAAAAATGCAAAGTGAGTTATTTTTTGTGCTTTTTCTATTTTTGTAAACAAATAAATTACTAATTAATTCAAAAATGCAAAATTTGATCCTAAATGCAAATGCAATGTATTTTTGTATTTACTTTTTTATGAATTAAATAAAATAAACGTGCACAGACGAATGCAAACAATTGAGAAAATTCCACAAAAATTCCCAAAAATGGCAAATAATTAAAAGAAAAATCTATTTCTTTCTGATTCTATAGGAGTAATTCATATAGGGAAAAAATCACATGCTCACAGTATTGTAAAGTCACAAGATCACTTTTGATAAAAATGAGCTGCCACCAGAAGGGGTGAGTCACAACAAGGCATTGCACATCACCGTACAATGCGAAGATTATTTTATCACCAGAATCCTGATTGATGAAGGGTCCAACCTCAACATTTGTCCGTTGGTAACACTCAGGATGTTGGGTAGGGGACTACTTGAGATCAAGGACGGGGCCATCAACGTGAAAGCTTTCGACGGTTCCCAAAGGTCCACCATTGGGGAAATTAGTCTGTGTTTGCAAATGGGGCCTACTTGGTTAGATGTTGATTTTCAAGTGATAGACGTGCCGACATCTTACAATCTGTTGTTGGGACGACCATGGATTCATGCTACTGGGGTTGTAGCGTCAACAATACATCAGACAGTGAAGTTTGAGTGGAATCACCAAGAGGTGATCATTTACGGCGACGGTAGCAATCCCATATACAGTGGCCAGACCATCCTAGCAATCGGAGGCAGAAGAAAGATAGGTAGGGAGACTTATCAGCACATCGAGCAAGTCAACGCCGTTGACAAGGACAAATGGTGGGACAACAAAATTGAGAGCATATTGAACTGGAGCGGATACGAACCTGGCAAGGGGCTTGGCAAGAACCTCCAAGGAATCACTAAGCCCATAAAACTCAAGAAGCACGGCACCACCTTCGGTATGGGATATGAGTATACCTGGAAAGAATTCAACGACTGGTCAACACCATGGCGCGGTCCTTACTATCCATTGGATCAGCCAATACCACGCTTGGAACAAATTTTCCAACCGGCCGCAGTGAGGAATTTGTTCCTAGAAGACGATGATATGGATTGTTATGTCATTTTCGAGGAGGAGGGGAAGGAAAGACCTTCCATACAGGCTGTAAGCAGAGGAGCATGCCTCAATAACTGGACCATCAGAACCACCAGAGCCCGGCGACCCTCGGGGTAGCAAGGCTGAACAAGCATCATGCACTATCTTTTATTTTTACTAGTTAATTTTTTCTTTCACATTTTAAATTTCCGCAATAAGATCTTCAATGTTCAAAATAGTTATGGAACTTATCAAAGCTCTTCGATTTTCCTTATAAATCAACACTCTTATTATTTTCTCTCATTACTTTACTTATACAGCATTATTATTACTTATCTTGATGAACCAATGACTGTAACATGCGATGTGACAACGCAACAAACAGACATAGATTTAGAGGAAGATGACATACCTGAAGAGATTGTTAAAGAAGTCGAGAACTTTGAAAATTGGCCTAAGTCCAATCTAGACGAGACGGAAATTGTTAATTTAGGGGATGAAGAGAATCTCAAAAAAACACGAATCAGCGTTCACTTGTCATCATCAAAAAAGAATGAATACACAGAATTTCTAAGAGAATATGAGGATATATTCGCCTGGTCGTATGACGACATGACGGGCCTGAGCACATCTATTGTGGCTCACAAACTACCAACTGATCCAACATGTCCATCAATAAAGCAAAAGCTCAGAAAGTTCAAGCCGGATATGAGTTTGAAAATCAAGGAAGAATTAACTAAGCAAGTCAAAGCCAAGGTCCTCAGGGTAGTGGAATACCCAATGTGGTTAGCCAATATTGCGCCAGTACCAAAGAAGGACGGGAAGGTTAGAGTCTATGTCGACTACCGGGATCTCAACCGGGCCAGTCCGAAAGACAACTTCCCCTTGCCAAATATACATATCTTGATCGACAATTGCGCCAAGCATAAACTGCAATCATTTGTGGATTATTTCGCTGGTTATCATCAGATCTGGATGGATTAAGAAGATGCTGAGAAAACGGCTTTCATTACGCCGTGGGAAATGTACTACTACAAAATGATGCCATTTGGGTTAAAGAACGCAGGGGCCACCTACATGAGGGCCATGACTACCATTTTTCATGATATGATACACAAAGAGATCGAGGTGTACGTAGGTGATGTTATTATCAAGTCGAAGAAGGCCATTGATCATATGGAAGATTTGAGGAAATTCTTCAATAGACTTCGGAGGTACAACCTAAAATAGAATCTCGCGAAGTGTGAATTTGGGGTTCCTGCTGGAAAATTACTTGGGTTTATTGTGAGCCGCCGAGGAATAGAATTGTATCCATTAAAGCCATTCAAGAGTTGCCACTGCCAAAGAATAAGAAGGATGTGATGAGCTTCTTGGGGAGACTTAACTATATCAGCCAGTTCATAGCACAGTCCACGGTCATCTGTGAGCCAATCTTCAAGATGTTGAAGAAGGATGCCGCCACCAAATGGACTGATGACTGCTAGAAAGCTTTTGACAGAATCAAGGAATACCTATCAACACCGCCAGTCTTAGTCTCACCCGAGCCAGGTAGACATTTGCTAGTCTACATCACAGTGTTAGATGGTGCCTTCGGTTGCATCCTGGGGCAGCATGATGAAATGGGGAGGAAAGAGCAGGCTATTTACTATCTCAGCAAGAAGTTCACTTCGTACGAGGCCCGGTATTCTCTATTAGAGCATACCTGTTGTGCTCTAACTTGGGTGGCCCAGAAGCTGAGGCATTACTTCTATGCCTATACTACATATCTCATATCAAGGATGGATCCTCTAAAGTACATCTTTCAGAAGACCATGCCCACTGGCAAGCTAGCCAAGTGGCAAATCTTGTTGAGTCAATTTGACATTGTCTACGTGACTTAGAAGGCAATCAAGGGACAGGCACTAGCAGATCACCTTGTAGAAAATCTCGTGGACGGAGAATACGAACCCCTGAAAATGTATTTTCCTGACGAAGAGGTATCATTCGTAGGAAAAGACATTGCAGAATCCTATGATGTTTGGAGAATGTTGAGCAGCAAATTTCAAAGGAGTTAGCATAGGAGCAGACCTAGTGTCAGAAACCGGTCAACATTATTCGGTGTCAGCTAAGCTCAGGTTCCCGTGCACCAACAACATGGCCGAATATGAAGCCTACATCCTAGGGCTCAAGATGGCCATTGACATGAACGTACAAGAAGTTGCTGGTGATCAGAGATTCAGACTTACTCATACATCAGGTCCGAGAAGAATGGGCAACCAAGAACTCGAAGATACTCCCGTATCTGCATCACGTACAGGAGTTGAGAAGGAGATTCATAAAGAAAGAATTCTGACATGTTACTAGAATCCAAAATGAATTCGTCGATGCACTGGGTACCCTGTCATCCATGATACAACATCCAGACAAAACTTCATTGATCCCATTCCAGCAAAGATCCACGACCAGCCGGCTTATTGTGCCCATACTGAAGAAGAAGCAGATGAAAAGTCTTGGTTTCATGACATCAGGGAATATTTGACAAAAGGAGAATACCCAGAGCTTGCAAATACTATTCAGAAATGCACATTTCGGAGGTTTTCCAACAATTTCTTTCACAGCAGAGGAATCCTATATAGGAGGACTCCTGATCTGTGACTACTAAGGTGTGTCGATGCAAAGGAAGCATCTAAGCTACTGGAGGAAATCCACGCAGGGACCTGTGGTCCATATATGAACAGTTTTGTCTTAGCAAAGAAGATCCTCCGAGCTGGTTACTTTTGGATGACTATGGAGACAGACTGCATCCAGTATGTCCGAAAATGCCACCGCTACCAGATACATGCAGACCTGATAAAGGTACCTCCCAATGAGCTTAATGCAACAAACTCACCATGGCCTTTCGCCGCTTGGGAATGGATGTTATTGGACCCATCGAGCCCGCCGCTTCAAACGGACACAGATTTATCCTAGTAGCAATCGACTATTTCACCAAATGGGTCGAAGCAGCGTCTTAAAGAGTAGTAACTAAGAAAGTCGTGGCAGAAGCAGCCGTCATCACAAGTAGTAACTATTTCAGCCGATCATCGCAAGCAGCCGTCAGAAGCATCAACCCATTAAACTGGGGAAGAATTTTGAGGAGGACCCTCAAAATTCGGTAATAAGAGAGGTTGCAATGTATTGAGTTACGTCACAATCGTCGGTTCATCTAAAAGCTATTTCTTAAATATATACTTATGTCATATTTTTACAAATTCATGCATGTTTATAATCGAAATTGCTTTGTTCAGCAACGCTACCCCCAATAATACATACCGTATCACCGGATCAAAGCCGAACAGGCCAAGCAAGGCCAGCGGGGATACAAACTAACCTCCCCTCTACAAAACTCATGATTTTTCTTTGGATGCAGACACTTGGATTGCAAAAGCATATGCATACTATACACTCACGAGACAAACGTCGTTCAGGAATACAACCCTCAGAATTGTTGCACTTACTAACATTTGCTATCCACGCACGCTGGTGATATTCCCTATACCGCAATGTCCCCAGCAGTCACAATATTGCAACCTGCCAGCAACTAAGAAAACTCTATTACCATTTGCCATTTTATTTCTGCATTGCATAAGGCTACCATTCTGCCTTCCGAGACTAAGCATTGTCTCCATCTGCATTTTTATGCATTGCATAAGGCTACCATTCTGCCTTCCGAGACTAAACATTTTCTCCATCTGCATTTTTTCTGCATTGCATAAGGCTACCATTCTGCCTTCCGAGACTAAACATTGTCTCCATCTGCATTTTTTCTACATTGCAT